TGAGGGTTCTGGGCAGGGCTGCCCCACGAGCCCGCGGGCTCGTCCTGACACCCCAGAGCCGGGGGCGAGGGTGGAAAATCTATTACCCCGCTGCCATTTTGTTAAGTGTTTGCTCCCCGTTGTGACCCTGCCACTTTATCTGTTGATTTTTATTTTCTGAGTGCATGTTGCCCATATGTTACTCTAATAGTTGCTATAATTCTTGAGCAATAGGGCTCGTATTTTACTGAGCTGAATTAAAAAGAATGCACTTTAATAAAAAACCTGAGCAATACACTAATGGCTTGACATTGACGTATTTGCATAAAGATGAATTATATGGGCTCGCTTGACACGACTTTTAATAAATGATCGAGGACGTTATTACAGGGATGCACTTGGGTGTGCGGAAGGGGGTTATTGCCGCGGGGCCGGTGCCAGGCACTCCCCGCAGCCCGCCGGCCCCGCAGGGCAGCGCGGGCACAGACCGGCCCCGCCGAGCGCCCTGAAGCCCCGGGGGATGCGGTGAGGCGCGGTGCTGCCTGCTCGTATCGATAACTTTATTCTTGTCAACCACGTTCGCTGGGGTGCGGTGTGGGGTGCCCGCTGCCCCCCGCGGCAGCGCCGCCGCCTCCTCCTCCCCGGCAGATGTTTGCATCCCTCACGGAGACTTGTAACCGCTGTTGGAGACAGCTGGCAAGCGCCGCCAGAAACGTGTATCTGGGAAATACCTATCGGTGCAGAAGGTAAAGGCGGAGCTGCAATTAGGAGGCAGAGCAGTTCATCTCACTTTTTAATTTGCGGCTAGCGATGCCGGCTCGGAGCGGTGGATCCCGCAGCAAGCGCCTCTCCCAGCGGTGCCTCTCCCCGCGGCCGCGATGCGGGAAGGGACTCGGAGTGTCCGGGCCGAGGGTGAAAGCCCATCACCCTCATTTTAACCTCCGGGTTCTCTGGCCTGAGGAACGACTCGTGTCCCTAAAGCAAAGCCTCGGGGCGGCTGGCAGGGGTACAACGAAAGTTTTGCACGAAACAACATCACGGCAGCAAACGGAGGGAAAACGGTGTGCGTGTAATATGGGAAGCGTTAAAAATTAATAGCACTGAGAAGTGATGAGCGATAACGGGATTTCAAGAACTCATCACAGGAGACCACGAGTGAGGGAAAGGGCGGGAGCAGCCATCTCTCCCTGGAATGGTCCGGCTGTCCCCGCGTGGCTGTCGGTCTGGGCATCCCTCTGGCAGGGTGTAGGCATTGCCTCGGCTGCTGCCTGCGCCGGGGGCTCTGGGTGGGAGTTGCTGTCGGAATGAGAGAGCCCGGAGGCCTCGGGGCTGTGACAGCTCCGGTGTAAGGCCTTGTCAGGGGCCGGGTGACAGCGGCCTACGGGCTGGGCTTCCCCCCAGCGCACACGCCCCGAGTAGAGCGACCCCTTCATTACCCCGCGCTAATGAGGGCTCTTCCTTTTCCCCCTTCCTGCGGCCGCTCCCGCCCGGCCGCCGGCCGCCGGTTTCCCCTTGCAGTCTGCGTCCCCGCAGTGGCACTGCCGTGCGGATCCTGCCCGCGCCCATATGTCCCGCATCCATATGCATGTGTCCCGCAGGCAGCAGCTGCCGGCCGGGAGCGGGGTACGGGCAGCAGGGTGGCCCCCGACCCCTCTTTTGCTTCCCGTACCTCCCCTGCCTCCCTTCCTCCATCCCTCCGGCAGTCCTGGGGTGCCCAAGGCTACTACAGGGCGCGGAGCGGGTCCTGCACCTGGGGTGCTTCTACGGGGCAGAAAAAGTTTTTCCTCTGCCCACCATGATATTCGCTGGGGTTGGAGACAGACCGCGAAGTACCTTGACAAAGCAGAGGCGCTGGAAAACTGGGGAGGATGCTTTGGGCACCCTGGGATTGCCTGGGACTGCCGGGAACTTCTCCCGCGGTATCTTCTGCACCCCAGAGAAGGCACATGGCAGCCACCGAGACAGACTAAACCCAGGAACAGCCGCCTCTATTTCCCCTGAGCCTGGAAATCCTAGAAACAGCCGCCTTTATTTCCGCTGAGCCTGGAAATCCCGCACACGGAAGGGAGTGGGGTTTAAAACCGAAGGCTCTGTGACAGAGGGATGGGAAAGCCGAAAGCTGTGTGCGAAGGGAGCTGTCGGGACCGGCCTGCGGTGGTCTCTCACCGCTCAGGCAGGGACTCGCCCGCCCAGCTCCGCAGCTCCCGCCGCTCCCCACGCGTGTGCGCCAACGCTTAATCCCCGCGGGAGCTTCGGCCCGGGCCCGACCTCGGGGCGGCTGCTGGGGAGCGGCTTCGCCGGCCCCATTCTCTATGGACATGGTTGTGCAGCACTTTTTTAATATCCTTATCCCGGAGTTTATACAGTTCCGCAACAAACTCCTGCCTGCACGAAGGACGGAGCCGAAGCTGCGGCTGATCTCGGCCAGGCCCCCGCGCACGGGGGGAACCTCGCACCCCGTGAAGCCCGCTGACATTTGTCTTTTAATTGTTCACCGTGCTGTCCGTGGCAGCGATCCCGAGGTTAGCTATTGAATCTCTTCCTAAAAAGTCCTTTCCTGGAGGAGAGGGAGCCCAGCCGGCTTTGGCTTTCAAAACATGTCCCGAAAAGGGGGGCCGTGAGCTCGTGTGAATCCCCTGCTCTTTCTTCCAGCGCCCCAGACAAAACCAGCCTAACCAAGCGGGCAGCGTTGGGCTCCTTTCCCTGCGATTCCACTTTGACGGTGCCAACTGCAACTGGTGGCCAGCTGGGTCTCTGTGCAGAAGTAAATTAACTGGAAAGCCTCAGTCGGTGCTGCGGTGAACTGGAAAAGGGCCGGGGACCGCCCGAGCACTGGCTGCAGCCCGGGGGCACTCGGGAGGGCACGGGCAGGGGCCGGGGCCGGCTGCGGGGGAAGGGCTGAGGGTGTGCGGGCAGTCCTGTCCCGGCGGGGACCCCCAGCCGGGCTCCGGCGGGTCCCCACCGCCGTTGTCCGGACCCCGCGGTATTTTGATTTCGGAAACCCGCGGACAAATCATAACGGCGTGAGCCGGCAGGGCCGAGTCAGCTCTCTGGGAAGCCACCGGCCTTTCCCTTCCTGCCTTTACAACGAGTCGGGAAAGATGGGGGTGGGGAGAGTGTCGGTGGACGATGGGCAGCCCCCGGTACCCCGGCCAGGGATTGCTGGGGCAGCCGCGCCGCAGCAGCCGCAGAGCTCCGGGCTCGTTCCCTCCTCCCAGCCCCGGCATTGTGTAAGCCAAAAGAGGAATAAAACCCTGCTCTACTTTTTTTTCTCTTTCTTTTTTTTTTTTTTTTT